TACTCAGGCAAAATAATTCTAGAAATGGTGCCTGATCTTTTAAGTTAAGGGGCCCAAAAAAATTTAATATTGTCATTCTTCAGTAATGGTTGAATCAAAAATAATGTCAAGGTGAAATGAAAACAAGAAAGCATGCATGATCCTAGCCCTCTAATACATGTAATACCATGTTAAAAAATCAGTATGTTCTGAAAGCAATATTTAGTAAATAATATGTACTGGCAATGTTACTTTTTCCAAAGGTATAATTCATGAGATGTAAAATATCTCCATTCCGATCATTAAATAATTTTCCTGTAACATTATCACGAAGTATTGAACTGAATTTAACGCTTCCATTTTGACATTCTTCAGATATGGAAAGACTGGTAATAAGTAAGCCCGCTATGCAGGCAATAAATGAATGTTTTCAGGTTACAGTAAAATTACAAAATGATTTGATAAAATGAAGTTGTAAAAGTGAAAGTAGAATCTACCGGATGTTGTTATATATAGTTTGTCTCGTGGGCTTAAAATACACATAATCGTGTGAAAATAGATTAAATTACCATCTTAATTGGGGGATTAATTAATCAGGCAATGATGAAATTATTACGTGTTGAGATTAACACGTGTTACCGACAATCAAGATACAAGTAATGATAGCAGTAGTATGAGACATTCCATCAATTCCCTCCACAAAAAAACCTAAACACCCTAAATGTCATAAATTCTTTCATCCAAAAAACACCTAAACACCCTACATTTCATAAATTCTTACACCAAAAACACCTTCAATCAATTCCTACACTCCATCAAAAAAAGCATATTAAAAATACCCTTATATGAAATAACGTAACATCCGGTTTTTAATAGCCTTGTTTTAAATAATGTTATTTTTAGTAGAAGGGAGATAACTCTTTTTTGAAAAAAAAAAACAGACCACAATTTTCTACTCAATTTTTAAACGGCAAATAAAATACTAGATCCAATCTTTAGATTAAACGATCCGATTCGTTATTCGTTTAACAAGAAAAAAGAGGATTATATTATGATCTCACCGACTGTTTGTTATAAATCCCAATTGAATGATGGTGGTAGAATTACCTTCGAAATAAATTCATTATCGAATTGGTTGCTTCTTTCCGATGCTTATTTCAGATGTGATTTCAAAATTAAAGATGGAACTCCCAATGAAAATCGTGCACCACAAACAAATACAACGTTGAAAACAATTCTTCCA